CATGCAAAACATATGATTAAAAACTGATGCATTAAAGATAAAGCTCAAATCTAAATAATGATTACTGCCAAAATTTTCAGGCCAACCAACTTCAGTCTTCTTTCTTAATACTTTACCCTGTCCCAAGTCAGAAATTTAAGATGACTGCAGAGAATTTAAATAGGTTTTAAAAACTGAGCCTGACTTCAAATCAGTATTAGGTTTACTGAGAAATGGGCATTTTGTAAAAGATGTTATAAATCTGTGGCTCTCTCCAACTGTGTTTTTGTTCCTGTTGGACTCATTCTGAACAGACAGCGTTGACCTTTAGGCTCTGATAATATCAGTGTGCGTGTGTTGGGGGGTCTGTGCCAGACATCACAGTCCTCATAATGAAATGTTCTGCACATGAACAAAAAGGCAAGTGTTATAGATAGGAAATCAGCACCACCTTTCCTTTGCCCTGTTGCTTAAATATTTCTGTTAACACTAAACCAATATGTAGAACACCTTCCTGAGATGAAAAGGGGAACAAACTTCTAATGGAATTCTAAGGGTTTAATATAAACTTTAGCAGCTTTGTAAGGGCAATTAATATTTCTAATTAATAATTGCCTTTCCTTTATGATTCTTTATCAAAATAAATCTGTTTCAGAAAGGGGAATAATCTTGTAAAGCTGAATTTAAAAAAAAGGTTTTATTTGTTTTGAATCATAGAGCAACTGAACCATGCACCTGCTTAGTTCCTTTTTCATAAAGCCACACAGTTTTGGCAACTAAAAAGTTTTAGCCTTTGTCCCAGAGCATTCTTCTGGGGTGGCCCTGCGTGTCCCCTGGCAGGAAGAAGGCAGGTGGGTCCTGACTGAACAGTGGCATTCCCAGTGAGCGTGGGACTGGGGAATGAGCCACAGCTTCGGAAACCTACTGAGGCTTTGGCCGATTGTGTGGGGAAAATGAACAATATGAAGTCAAATGAACAAAAGTCTGAATTGCAACAGTTCAGAGCATTTATTAATGTATAATAACTTTCCAACCAAATGGGAATGTCAGTTCAATTACGTAAAGTATTCCATCAAGCTTGTTTTCCAATTTAAGTGAAATTCCAGTTCAGATTTCTAATGGACTGATGATGAGATCAGATTTCCTCCAAGTGACTGGTTGTAGGTTAAGTATCTTAACAACTAAAGGAGGCAGGAAAAACTAAGGATTTCTGGTCATTTAATGCTGCCAGGCTTTCTTTTTTAATGTGGGTGCTCAATCCATTGTATTTTGTTTCCAGGTTTTTTCATCCTCATTTCTTATGCTTTGAATAGTGCCTGAATCCACAACAGGTTGTTTTTCAGTGCATGTACAAAGCAGTCCTAGTTTATACCTGCAAATAATGTAGGTTCATATGAATCTGTTGGCCCTATTACAACCAGGACGGTCTTCTGTTGTTGAATTGTTACTTCCTTCTTCACCCTTCTGGATTCCTAAGGGTTATAACAATGTTGTAGATTCCTTGGTGGCTTCAGGACCTAATTCTGTGAGTTTACATCCATGAGAAATGTCACATAGCATGTGCTGTATTCAAGGTGATCTTCCTCTTCATATTGAGAAAGGAAATTACTGGTAGCCAGTGAAAGCTATTGGTGGTTTTTCTTCAGAAGGGTGCAGGCTGAGAAATTGTCCAGTATCAGAAATAATAACTAGCTTGATTTTAAAGGCATTCTGTGTATATTACTTTTTAAGGTAACATGCTGCTGGTTATTAGAATCAGTCAAATGGTGTTTGGCAAGTTCCTTTAGATGTCCTTTAGTTATGATATTAATGGGTATGGTGACAATGAGGCTCAAAGCCTGATGAATGCTTAGGGGAGGAAAATAGCTTTGTTGCCAAAAGAGTAAAAGGCCTGCTGACCCTGTTGCTAATGCATTTATCCAACAAGCTTTCCCCCAAAGTCAGGCAAAACTAAACATCTGAAAATGAGGGACTGCAGTTGCATGAGAGCTGTGCTCACACAGCTACACTGCAGCAGAAGGGCTCTCTGGAGGTGCCCAGCAGTTCCTGAAGACCCTTTCTAGGCTGCCATCAGAGACGCACAGTGCACAGCAGTGCCTCTCCAGAGGGTGTCTCCCACTGGCTGTGGGGAGGAACACAGCAGCAAGGTGAGGTGCTGTGCTCTGGCAGCACACTCAGGTGAGGTCATTTCCAGCCACACTCCTAAAAAAAACCCCAGGTATTCATAGAGGTGGGTGCGGTAACACATTGAGCACCTTTCTGATGTCTGAGCGTGCTCCCTGTGCCCAGAGGCTGCAGACAGTCTGTAACCAAAATTCAGAGATGTCACAAGTGGCTGAACAAACAAATATCACCAGTTAATGGTTAAGCTCTCAATTTACTAAAGCGTTTGTTACCAGTTTGCCAAAGAGATCAAACAACCGTGAATCACAGCCTTGGCTACTAATTAAATCCTTTATTCCCTTCTCTCATCGCAGAAGCATTTAATCTTGGGGAATCAGGACAGCCTGTTGTGCAGAATACATTTTACAGCATAAGCAGAAACAAGCTTACTGTAAGGCTTCCTACTGGAGCTGGAAATGGGAAGGATTAAAAGGAGAATATTAAATTTTCCTCCTGGCATGGTAGTTCATGTTAGCACTGAAAAATGATTGATGGTGAATAGCTGCATTGGAAAATCATTTTGGTCGTGTAGCTTTGTTATTTCACTGAATAGCAAATACCATTGTTATTATCTGCCTGCCTTGCTTATAGATGGGACTTGTCCTCTAGATAGAGAATGAGGGATTTGGTGTGCTCTACTAGTGACTGGCTGTCCCAAAGAAAAATGTTTTACTCAGAAATAATGGACTGTGAAGAACACCCCAGAGGAAATGAGGCATAAACCAAAATACTACAAGCAGTTTTATGGCAATTCAAATATATTTCTATTTGTCAAAAGATGTTTTTGTGTGCTTTTATGTATAGGATGTATAGCTGCATGATATCATACCTTTGATATTTACTAGAAAATTAAACAGTGTTTACCTTTTTGGCTCCCATCTCTGTGAAGCAGAACTTAAAAGCCCAAACACTTTATTTCCTTTGGGTTTGGGGGAAGTCATCCAAGTCCTTAGCAGCAGGATGATGCAGCACAGGCTCACAGAACAGGGGTGCCCTGAACAAGCATTAGGCTAACTCAGTCCACTGGGAACTGATCCAAACACGCAGCCATTCCAGGCAAGAGTAGCAAATTTCCATTTTTGTAACTTGAACCATGATGTTGCAGTCTGATCTGTGGGAGCAGGGGCCTGGAGACAGTGGCTCTAAGACACCTCAGGAAAGTGTTAAGAGGGAAAAAGCTTCCTATGCAGATCTAACTGCAGGTTTGGTGCATAATTATTGAGGTACAGATAATTTTACATAAATACACTTAGGGGTAGCCATCTGTAGACCTGCAGTGAAAAGCTGTATAGTATTAGCTTGAAAAATAATGCATTTTATGCTATTTCTGGAGAAAGTAATCTTTTCTGTCATTGCTGGACCTGAACAATTTCTATAACAGAGCCCACCTGAGAGGCAATAGCTAAAAGCAGGAAATGATGGCTTTGTTTTGGTTCTGCTTTTTACTTTGCAGAATGTTTTCTTACTAAAAAGTGTGAGTTTTCAGAAGAGGAACACCCCAGCTACACCTCCTCAGAGGACAGACATCCACCATTTGCACATACAGAACTTTTATTTACTGAGGGAGATCTATCCTGAGGAAACATCTAAATACTCACAAAAATTTCAGGTTATATTTAGCTGCAGAGGCTTGGGTGATACCATGCTGTAGCATGCTAGAGACCCAAACTTTCACAAACTTTTATATCACTTAAAATAATTCTTTTATAGAACTTCTATGACTTCTCCATCCCTTAGTGAGTATGAATACTGTCATGTTCAGTATGGAGAAAAAGCACTGCAAGGTGACGTCTCAATATGCCATTCTATCTGGAATACTAATAACAAGTTTATAAAGATAAAATATCTGGAACACCTAACTGCTTTTGCAGCTGTTCCCCAAAGCCATCACTAGAAGTGTGTTTGGGATGAGAGTCAGAAACATTAGATGTTCATGCAGTTAAAAAGGAAATAAAGATGGTGCTGTAATGTCATTCAAGTACCTCTTGGTAAGAGTAATAGAATGAGCAATCTGAATAATTGGCCTAATGTTTGATATTATATTTTAATGTTAAGAAGAAAATGCATCTTTTTGGAAGCTTTGAAAAATTTGAAATAACTGTTGGTTTTAAGGCACTGTCTGAAAAATCATGTCAGATTCTTTGAAAGTCTGTAATTTAAAAGCACAATGAGCAAATTCTTTTCTCTTTATTCTGTTGTCAGATCATATGCATATGCACAAAGAGGGGCATATATTTTTTAAAGACCTTTCAGATTATTTTGTTATTATATTAAGCTACAGTTCCATTTCAGGATCAATATGTATGTAGATGTTACATCCAGAAACTACTAGATTATTTCTTGACTGTTTAGCAGTCAACAAATCAAAGATCTTTCAAGTGTTTTTATTTTAATAATTCTTTGTGGAAAAAAAATCATCTAAGTGAAGAAACATGTTGTATTGAAATTGTGGGGTGAACACCTCAAAAAACCCAAACAAACCAAAAAGTCCTAAAAACTGGAATGATTGTATAAAAGCTGTTCATGGCTGGATATGCAGGAACTTGAGAGTTTGGGGTTTTTTGTGGAAATGAAGCTGGGAGGGATGCATGGAGGTTTGCTTAGACACAGAAGGAGGTTATGTGGACACCTCTTTTAGCTGTGACATGGGTGCAAACCTAGCGTGGGTCAGGTAAAACCCTGGATTTTCAGAGCCTTCTTGAAAGGTGAGGAAGGTCAGCAGAACGGTGTGCTGTGCTGAATCACAGCTACTTGCACTGCACATTGATGTTTTGGGGAAGGGTTTTCTGCAGCCTGCTGTATTTCTTGTCTGGATGGAGATGCTCTTTCCCCCCTGACCCTCCTGGTTTTTCCCACAGGCTGCGGGAACACCACCGCGCTGCCATCAAGGTGATTCGGAGGATGCAGTATTTTGTGGCAAAAAAAAAGTTCCAGGTGAGTTGTGAATAGAAAGCTCCTTTTCTAAATAAACCCTTTGTTCACCTGATTCATTGTCTCTTTTAGAAACTTAAGAGAGACTAACGCAATTCATTTCAGTAATGGTGATCTACACCCACTATCCTCTCCCTCCTTCAATAGGACGGTTGTTTCGCAGCAGGTTAGTCAGCTATGGATGCACTGGAAATAGGCTAAACTCCTGAAATGCAGTCTGAATTAAAATGTTATTTTCTGCTAATGGACTTGACCCTTAGCCCTCTGTTATCGCTGTCTCTTTCTGGCAGTGCAAACATTCTCATATGTCTCCATTAATTCTGAGCTGTGTGCTGTTTTCATGCCCAGTCAGTAGGATTAGAGATTAAAATACTACCTCAGCCTTGTTTCTGTCCCTTACTCAATGATAATGAAGTCCTGATAAGAAACCAAGGTGGAAATTTGTTAGTGTATTGGAGGGTTTCTCATTTCTTCTCCTTTCTCCCCTCTGCATAGTAGAAGACCTCCTTCCCAGTTAGTGAGATACTGATTCTCTTTCCTCCTCTGGCCCTCACTGATACATTTCCCATGTGCCACTTCACTTCCTGTGGCCTTGTGATGTCATAAGCATTTAACAGTAGCTAATTAACCTTGTTTCCTGGTCTGAATAAAAAATTCTGACTGCCAGCTTTCTAAAAATCTGTTTCATTAATCCAGTAAAAACACATGTCAACAGCCTTCAGCTTGATTTAAACCAGGTGAATGTATACATAGGTAATAAATATATTACCTTGCTTAAAATCAATAAGGGATAATCTCTGGAGGAGTCTTCAAAACTGAAAATGCAAAGGATGAGTGTGGCTTAACTGCCTACATCTATTTTTTAGCTATTGCTGCTTCCAATAAACCAGAAAGCCATCCCACCTTTAATCTAGACCTCCAAAAAGGGAGAGTGTCTTTTCTTTTTCAAATTTGAAGGCTACAAAATTTAAGAACAAAAAGAACATGATGATGATGAGGATGATGATGATGATTAGCAGTCCAATATATCTATCTGTAAGGCAAAGTTTGCTGCTGTTACAATCCCACAATTCTGATTTCCTTATAAAATTCAGAAGCATTTCCTGAGTTCTTTAGCAAATTTCTACTTTGAATATTTTGATTTTTACTAATGAGCTAATTTGTGGCTAAGGTTGCCTGAGCTTGTCAGAAAATTGCTTTAGTTATGTATAATGTATTCAAATCAGTACCATTTAGGCTGAAATGTCCCATGTCCAGAGTTTTCTTGAAGAGAGGGCTTTCAAAAAGTTTCTGCTAGCACATTTCACCCTTTGTTATCATTATTAGACTAAAATTAAGAAAGGCACAGTCTCAACTACTTGAAGATAATATTTATAGTCATTTTGTTGAGAAGTTTTTTAGCACTTGCTGGTCAGCACTTTAAATTGGGCAAAGGATGTGGCCCAGTCCAGTGATGTGTCTGCTGCTGTGTGAGTAACTGCCTAAATGTGGCCAGTTCCATTAAAATCTAATTTATTTTCATTCTAAAACTTGATTGTGATCCTTTGCTCCATGGTAATTACTGAATCATTGCTCTCATAAATTTAGATCATAAAATATTTGCCATGGTATTAACTAAACTGCGTAGTAACAAGAAATCCACACGTTGTAGATCTACCTCCCAAGTGGTATTTGTCAGAAACAGATTTTGAAAATGCCTGAGCACTGTGTGCAACATTATCCACCTGGCAAATAAACGAAACTCCCCTGCGGCAGATGATTTGATAGAAGCTGAAAAAGCATTTGACTGAATAGAATGGGACTATTCAGTTCATACTTAAAACTTGTTTGTGCTCAGTATCTTGGTTGCTAATCTGGCTTCTCAGTTGTACTCTCGCTTTTGCATCTGCAAAAGGCTCAGTCCTGGCCATCTACAAAATCCCTGGACAGGGTTGTCTCCCATCTCTCCTCAGCAGTCTTCTTCCTTCCTGAAGAATCCATATTAACTGCTACTAAAGAACTAAAAATGTAATTTGGCTGAAGTGGGGTGGATCTACTCCTGTGTACAAGTAATATGCTTCTGTTTCTTCTGAAGCAGAATCTCCAGTAGGAAAGTAGGGGAATATCTGATACTTCTCCATATTTTCTGAATATAAGGTCATGATCAAGCTTAGAAATTTGGAGAGCACAAAAGGTAGAGTTTTCCAAAGCACCCAAGTAACTTGATGCACGAAGTCACCTTGAAATTCAAGCCCCAAGATGATTTTAAAAATCTCTCCTGTAATTAAGCGATAACCACTGTCATTATTCTTTCATCAGAAGTTGTAAATCTGTTCTATGCACATAAAATAATCATAAGAAATTAAATTGTTTTAGCATGTGCCAAGTAATGACTGTACTGTTCCTAATAAGCAGACTAATGTAATGTCCAAAAATAAGGTAAAGCAGAAGATGCATTTTAAAAATATATCTTTCGGCATTTTAGAGGTCTGTACAGCTGGTTTTTAGTAGGTGTTTTCTTTCTAAGCTTTACAATAGTGTAAAAAATAAGTCCCAAAAAAAGAAAATTCAGATATTTTCTTCCTGTAACTGTTGAAAAAACCTACAACAAACCAACAACCCAATTTCATCTGAAGTCCATTGGGCAATTCATGCTTAAAATTAGCTGCAACACTGAGGAAGGCCAGCGCTTTAAAGGAGTATTTTTTAGAGATGCCTCTGAAACTTCTGGTAGGACAGCATAGGAAGAAGGAGAGGAAGAGGAAAATTTTGCAAAATAGGTCCCAGCATGAACCCAGCATGGTTCTTAAACGATACCAGCTGTTTGCAGGACACACCTGTAGGCCTAAATTTGACTAGATATATTTTTTAAAGGACTCGGTTAATAACAGGGGGTGATGGCATCAGAAGGACCAAAGCCAGTTATAAAGCAAAGCTTTCCTGTTTAAAACTAAATAAATAAATAAAACAAATAAAGAAAAGCTAAAAAGGGATACAAAGATTTTCAAAGGACATGAAAAGCAAATCTTTGTGAAGTATCATTTCCTCTTAAAAAAGAAGGAGAGAAAATTAGGCTGTATTTCAAAGTCCAGGTTTAAATATAGTCCTTAGGAGGATGCCCATGTATAACCCATGAACCCAGCGTAGTATTATAAAGAATTAATACCTTTTTTATGGATGTGTTTATGCTCTCGTAAAGTCTGTAGGACTGTTTCAAATTCTATACAAATGATCACATTCAACACAAGTCCCGCGCATCAGTGAAGATTGATGACTTATGGTTAAGGAAGGATTTTATTGATTATAGGGAAAGCAGACTTAGAAATGAATGCTTTTCTAGGCTTTGTTCACCCTACCTACCAAAAATTAATTTTATATATTAGTTGTAAAGCAGATGTTTTTGACACAATCTAATGTTACAAATGAATTTCAGAAAAAAAATAATTTCCATACTCAATTATCCCATTAGCTTGATTTATGAGTAAATAACCTTTGTTTTCCAATCATGAATGTTTCTAGAAGTCTTAAAACTAATGTACATAGATGCAACCGTGATATCCGTCAGATACAGAGACCAGGAACTGGTTCTGATTTCCCATTTTCATTTTGAAAACTTCTTAAATTTTCTTTCCATGTAAATTCTTCCAATTGAGTAAATTAATTTCCTTCTAAAATAGCTTTTTAACTTGTGGAATGAGTTTTACCATGGCAAATATTCTATACATAGCATAAATTAAAAATACAGGTTGCAGTTCTACCAATGACATAACTGTTGCCTGATTTGTTACAATTTCCCTGGAAAATCTTACGTTTATAGTCTTGTAGTTCATCATACTATGTGATTCATATGAATTGTGTGTGTAATCTTTTCTAATCTCCATGCTGGACTGTACTAAACTGTGTATTTCAGTGTCCTGTGCTTCACAGGGTGTTTTGCCCATTTTATTTGATGTTACCTGGCTGCATTTCCCAGAAATTCCCCTTTCCTGGATTCCCCTTTCCCAGATCTGCCTTCCTGCCCATGCAGTTACTAGGGAACAACAGCCACAGCCAGTGGTGCACATTTAATATTTGGCATTGGATTTTGTGCCTCTTAAAAACTGTCATTTATGATGGAGGAAATTCTAAGGCATTTAAAAAGAGTTTTGCCATGAGTTTTGCTTAATTAGTAGAGGACCAAATGTAAGGAAGAGAAGCAATTAAGAAGGCTGTGGGACTGGCTTCTGCTTTTGTCTATTCCATACTAATCTGATGCCTACTGCATCTTTTTTATATGGTCAACAACAAGAGTATTTTCTTATAGAAGATCAGCTTTCAATGTGAAGCAGTTACAGAAAAAACAGTACTGACTTAAATACCCAGACTTACTCAGAAGTTTAGCATCATTCTTAAAATATATTTACTCCAGGTTTTCAATTCTTGTTTTAAAGAGAGAGAAACAGCCCTGTAAATGAAAAACAGGTAGGGAAATACTTACACTACTGTCAGACTCCTGTGTCAGAGTATGAGGATGGCAGGAGAAAGCTCTGCATCTTTATTCTTACTGAACACCTTTTCTGAACCTGCAGTTTTCAAAGTTGCAGATTTCTCTTTTGCTTATTTATAGTACAAAAAGAATCCAAGAATTTTTTTTTATTATATTATCATGTTCACAGTGCTAGTCCATGGAAAGATTTACAGGCTTATGCCATGGCAGAATCATATTTCTTTCTTTGTGGATGTTAGTTATGATTTATGTGTGTGTAAGCAGTTGGGATGCTTGGGAATTCTTCTGTGCTCCTTGGTTAGATTGAAGCAATTCCCAGTCCTGCTTGGCCTCCCACTAGAGAGGGTCTCACATTCACTCAAGGCTTGCAGTTGACATGGGGAATCTGTGACACTGAAATATACTTTGTTTGATAAAGTGATTTTACTAAAGGGATCATTCCTGAAATGTGGAGGCTGCTTCCCAGGCAGGTGCAGGGGACTGCATGAAGGTACCACAGTCTCCACTGCCTGGTTTTGCATGGTATCCCATTTTCCTTTGGCTTAGGAAAGAAACCTGTGTTTATGGCATGGAGTTGAGGAAATCCTGAAGTTTGGGAAATCAGATAAAGCAGAGCAGAGACATCAGCTTTTGAAGTTCAGGTGACAAAATACTTCTGAGACTTCAAAATGGAATCCAAATTCTGGTATCTTACAAGCTACCACTGAAAACTCTTTTCCTTATTCTCAAACAATGCAAGAAAAGAGAAGTTGTAACTCAATGTTACCAAGGTTTTTACAAAACCTTGAAAATTATCTGCAGAGTTTCTATAAACAGCATAACAAATGAGTCAGAAATCATAGAAAAGTTTGGGTTGGGAGGGACCTTCAAAGGTCATCTAGTGCAAACCCCCTGCCATGAGCAAGGACATCTTCATGCAGTCAGGTTGTTCAGGGTCCCTCTCAACCTGACCTTGAATGTTTCCAGAGATAGGGCATCCAAAATTTCTCTGGGTGACCCATTTAAGTGTCTCACTACCCTCACACTTAAGAATTTCTTCCTAATAGCTAATCTAAACCTGCCCTCTTTCAGCTTGAAGCCATTTCCCCCTTGTCCTATCACTATAGGCCCTTGTAAAAATCTGTCCCCATCGTTTTTTAAAAGCCCCCTTCAAATATTGAAAGGCTCCAATGAGGTGTCCCTGTAGCCTTCTCTTCTTTAGGTTGAACAACACAACTTTCTCACCCTGTCTATAGCAGAGGTGCTTCAGCCCTCTGATTATCTTTGTGGCCTCCTTTGGACTTGTTCTAACAGGTCCATGTCTTTCCTGTGCTGGGAACACCAGTTCTGGCACTGATAGGACTCTAGATTCTAGATGTAGGATTAAGATACCTTTAATTTGTTGCTACCCTTCAACATGTTCATTAACTTGCTTCCCAGTCAGTCTTGGTGTCTTGCAGGTAAATACTATTGCATTTATCTTGATACTATTGCCTCTGTACTACACAAAAGTTGTTTTATGCATAGTAGGTCAGATGAAGTCTTTCCCATGTATGAGGTGTAAGTTACAGACACGGGGCATTTCTTGCACCAGTGTTTCCCAGCAGTTTTGAAAGCTCAACCAGTCTTACTGGAAGAGGAAATCAGTCATGCACCTTCCTCTAGGACTGTGTTTTATCTTCCCCTGGTAAGGCCTGAACTGTGAACCCCAGCTGCTGACTGAGAACAGGGGTTTGTGCATGTTCAAGACCCAATATTTTTCAGTGGCCAAGGAGTATGAACCTTGTTTCCAGAAGGAACTAGAGTGTGCACAGCCTTCTGAACCAAGTGCCAGATAAACTCTTTTTAGCTCCAAGTCCTTTTGAGCTCCAGTTTGGTAATAATCCAGTTTGGATTATCTCTTGGAAGGCATACAGACCTGTGATAACAAAAAGGTGGATGAAATGAGAACTGTCAGAATTATTCCACCAAAAATGTGTGATCATGGCAATAATCAAAATAACTCACATGTTTACTCAGTGCTAAAAGAACTTACTGTTTACTCTTCAAAAACGTCTACATTGCCACAGACCTTTTGTCCATTCCTGTCACTTAAGGGCATGTTTTTTGTCTCTTCTTTTACAGCAAGCCAGAAAGCCCTACGATGTCCGAGATGTTATTGAGCAGTACTCTCAGGGCCACCTCAACCTGATGGTGCGAATCAAGGAGCTGCAGAGGAGGTATGTCAATGAAGCCCCTCTTGGTACCCATGAACGGCCACAGGAGGATGTTTGTAAATTAGGGGCCCACGTTTAAAAAAATGCCAGGGTTAAAGGTGCCATATTGGCAGGATTGTGCGCAATTAGGGAATATAAAATGGCATTTGCATACAGTTTTCACACAGGGAGGAAAAGGCAAAAAGCATAAAAATCTGATGATTGGGACTTAGATGTATTACCTCAGTCCCTGCTAGCTGTGACTATAGACTGCAATCCCTGTATCACAGGGGCTGTTCTACACCTGGAGAGTGCAATACTGTCACCTGCTCTCATAGAATTGCCCCTAAGAGCCAACTAAGAGATGACAGATGCAAAAAGAAAGCTGGACAAGAACAAGGAAAAAACAAAACAATGCTGAGCACATGGAAAATGGGCATGGTAAAACTTTACAGTGATTCAAGAAGCTGTAGAGCAATCTAATTCAAATCCCATTATGCTACTAAATTTTTCATTTCAAGCTACTCTTAGCATAAAGCCACTGCTTCACTCAAACCAAAATTATTTGAACTTCACTTCGGTTGTTTGTGAAGAGGCCTCCCTGCTCCAGCTAGAGAGAGAGTGAAGATGCTGGTTCAGACTGATAAAAATCAAAAAGGTTTCTTTTTGTTTTATAGGTTGGACCAGTCCATAGGAAAGCCATCTCTTTTTATCTCCGTCTCAGGTAAGTCAATACAAAGAATGTGTCTAAAATTAATCTGATGAACATATAATTAATGGAAAATAGTTGCTCAAGTAATTTTCATTTTACTGCCAAATTTCTAAACTGTGCCAACTGGTTGTGCTCTGAAGATTAAGCATTGGCAATTATATTTAGTCATCAACACTTTTAAATTAGGGTTCTTATTTAGATTCTTAAAGCACACACTTTCACTGAAGTCTTCAAAATATTTGCTCTAGTCTTTCTGAGACTTACCATATATTCAATAAATTGGTGTGCTAAGATTACAGAGTTCCTGTGAAATTTGTAATATTCACATAGATCTTTGATAGCTTTGAAAAGACACTGGAAATGGAGCATATAGGACTACATTTGTTTGTGACAAGTCTGGCTAATGAAAGCTCCCTGTTTATGTCATTTTCAAACTCATCTTTCTGTATAGTTTATAGTGGGGGGTAAAAAGATAAAATGTTACCAAATGTGTTATTCAACTTGGCTGCAGAGCCCTTTGCATAGTGGCAGATTGTTTTTAAGTGGCAATTAAAACATTAACTAAATTGGTAACATTTTTGCTCTCCATGGTTAAAGCATAAAACTAAGATTAAAAATGCCTTAAACTCAGGGCTATTAAAAGCCCTGGCATGGGCCAATGCTATAAAAAGAAACAGAAAACAACTTTTAAGGAATGGATCTATCGGCCTGGTAAGGGTGTTCAGTTACACGGTGTTGGTGGGCTAGTTAAACACACCCTGTTGTGGTTTACTGCTATTTTGTTATACCACCATATATTAATTTGAAAGTGTTTCTTGTTCCACAGAGAAAAGCAAAGATCGAGGAAATAACACGGTTGGTGCCAGGCTGAACAGAGTGGAGGACAAGGTAAGGCTCAGTTGAACTGGCAGTGAATGAGGACATGGTTTGTGATCGAACAGTGCTTGTTTCATAGGATGTGAAGGAAAATTCAACTTAAAATAGAGTTGAATGCCTGGCTTTTCCAGGTGATGGAGTCTAATTTTTGTCACAGATTGCATTTTTGGTTCTCATCACTTTAACAGAATAAGGAAAAAAACCTGGATTTAATTGATTTCAGTCACTTTTGGGACTCGCTTGGGTATTTTATTTTTAATTGCATATATTACATACGTCTCAGTGCTTTACTTCCTTCCTCCACAATAGATAAAAGGCTCTGTTCCTTTAATAACTCAGTATATTATGGTCCCCAAGATTTGCCTTTGATCTTTGCTCCGTTGTTTACATAAGTCCACCTACAATTCCTTAGTGAGGGAAATAGCAAACCTTGTTCCATCCTGGTTTTCATTCTTTATGATAAGTGGAGTTTCTCCTTCCAAGTGACATGAATCAAAAAAAATCAGACTTGTTCTATAATTGCAACAGTTAAGTGCGTTGTAAGCCTTTATTTCAACGCTGGCTGTGCTTGAGAAAATGGATGACAGGTAGAGATTCATTGTCATGGTAGAGGTTGTGTCATTGTTAGAAAATACAGGTTTTCCTATGCTGGTATTTAGGAAAGAAAGGAAGAGTTAGGAAGAATAGTTTTAGTCTTTTACTGATCTATTAGAGTGATTTGGTGAGGTAGTGAAAGCATTTCTTTACTTTAGAGTTATTTCACTCATGTATCTGACCTTGGTATCTGATCTTTAGTTATTAAGACTGAAACTTTTTCCCGAGGGAAAAAACTTTCAGAGTGTTTCTTCCACTACTGGCAGTATGTGGCAACCTCATGAAGGTTTTGTTCTGAAGAAATATCAGCAAATATTCTGCAAACTAAAAGAGGTGTGAGCAATAGGACTACAAGGACTACAAACCAGCACCCTGATCTGATCTGCATTGATTCTCTTGTGACATGCCTGTTCCTTACACACTTCTCCTGAATTACTTTAATAAATTTGAATGACAATACTCAGAACTGCACTTCACTCTCCTGGAAATAATGGTGTTTTAAAGGAAACTGGTTTCTTTTGGTATACAGGGGATACAGGGGAAGAGTTGAAGTAGAAGAGAGGAAAGTAGAGTGTATTTAGCACAAAAAAGAATCACTGTGCAGTGCTCCCTCACATCTGTGGTTAATATGTGTTCTTACACATGGAAGCCCTTTCCAGAAAGTTTGGATTACATTTATTTATTTTCTCTCCATAATGTCAACTAAAAGTGTGGAACACTAAGAAATGTCTTGTGACTTGTGACAAAGAGCAATGACTTTTCAGTGTGGACAAATAATTCTCAAATAGCAGCTAAAGCAGCTTCTCAGTGCTATTTGTAAAATCTCCAGCGAGCCTGGGAAAGCCTTGGTGTTGTACTGGCTCAGAGATAAGCTGTTTGGGGGTTATTAATTACTCTTTTTTACATCCTTACAAATAAGTACACCGTGAATTTATGGTGACTGGGTTTTTATGTCTTGTAATGGGACTGTAAAACACTCCCTGTATAATTTTAGTATAGCTGGGTTAAATTTTAGCCTTGTTTTAAGTAACAGACCCTTCTTTCTTTGCAGTTGCATGAGGTCATCTGTGGTTTCAGAGTTGTATGTTATCTGCCCTATACAGCTAGTCCTATCTGCAGGAATTTTATCTGAAAGTAGCTGAAAGGCTAAAAATAGAGAATTTCAGTTGGACTCAGCAAACAGTGGTTAACATAAAAACACACTGGCAATGCTAGAATCACATTTTTGCTGCAGCTGCAGATGGTGGCCAAAGCTAATTTTTTGGTATTTTTACTCTCAGAGATTGGCCCTCTCTTTCCCATAAAGTACATGGTGTTTGTATGCTTTCAGCATAAAGCTAAATCCTTCCTGAGCTGAACACTCTATTAAGGATATCAGGTGGTTTTTAAGGTGACAAAATATTTTAAACAGTTTCATCCCATTTGGTTTGTGAATTATTTTTCAGTCTTGGACTTCAGGAGATATTTTCAGTGCTGCAGGCTAGTGTCAGCATCTAAATACCTCTTAGGCATTTAAAGAATCTCCTGTAAATCAGAGGAGGGCTATGTACAGCCAACAGTACATAGGGGATGGCACCTAAAAGGGACATTTTAAAATAAAAAGCTTAAACAGCAGTGTATTGACAGGAATTATGATCCTTTATGGCAAAAACCTGAATTTTCAAGTATTGACATCAGCAAAATGTTGTGTTTTCTGCTGTAAATTTAGGAGTATGCTCATTTAAGGCGTAGAGTTTCATGTGCACTGAAACTTTGACCTTGTGATATACACAGCTTGTGATCCTGAACCTAAAGGTTGTTTTGTACAAAAGCCAAAGGGATGAATCACACTTGCAGGAACCTTCCTGCAGATTCCTTCCTGCTGAATGCTGTAATTTTGGCAAGACCCTGAAAAGGTGGTTTGGTGAATGTGACTAGAGACTGCACAGCCTGGGTAGGCCTTTGTGAAAAGAAATCCAGCACATAATCATGGCATATTTTGATTTTGCCATTGCTCTCTGTTGCTTACAAAGCCGAGGTTGGCAAGTGCTGTGCTCTCCTAAAGGTGTCCTGCTGTGCTGGGTGCAGGGGGCTGCCCAGTGGGAATGTACCAGCAGGAGTGCAGCACCCAGAGGGGCTCACACTGTGCCCTGCCAAGTGCCAGTTGTCCAAGAGCGTGCGTGCAGATACCTCAGGGAATGTGGTTGAGCAGGATTACAGCAGCAAATCAATTTATTTGCGGTGACCAGCCTTCTCTTTTCATCCTTGAAACATCTGTGAGTGACTATTCAGCCTACCCTCAAGGAACCTGGCCACAGCTGGCTTGCTACCAAGCTCAAAATCAAAAACAGTTTTTCCAGATGGGCCCAGCTGTGTGTGCACAGTGCCCTTCCTCCTCACACAGCACTCTTCATCCTCATGCCGCAAGCGCTGCCTGCCAGGGACTTAATTCTGGGTGTGCCCAGCAGCTCCAGCCAGGAGCAAGCCCACAGCACACTTGGGAAATTCTGTGTCCTGCAGCTCCTATTTTCCTTTCACTGCACTAATTTTAGCTTGGCTATAAATGACTGCAATGCTAGCTTTTAATTTTCACATTAATCTTTTCTTTTTCAGCCTTTTGCCAGCCATTAATTTAGCTATAACAGGCGCAGTTTGCACTTCTCAGGTGATCAGCCAGGCTTGCTGCCTCGGCTGCCCTAAGGAAATTCAGTCTCAAATATGGGCACTGCACAAAATCATCTAGAATATGCAGTGAAGGCTAAAAGTGGCCAGTCCCTGGACCCTTCCTGTTGTCCTTGCAAACCAGACTGCCCCAGATGTCTGTAGGTCCTGCCTGTGGACCTCCCAGAGTAGAATAACATAACCCAGATTTACAAAAAAAATTTAAAACCATTCTGAGCAGTAGAATTATCCTCTCTTTCTGTTAATTTGTTTTGAAAATAGAACTTAATCTTCTGCAATGACTTGAACCCTCTAAAGTTTGCCTTTCAAGAATGTTTCTAGCAATCCAAGGCAGTTTTCTGGGCATCCCTTCTTATATACTCAGAATTGTTCCTGTGTCTGACAGTAAGTACAGTATTAGTACCAGGATTGCCAAGGTCATAATTAAAATCTTGTAATAGTCTTTTTCAGTTCCATGAAACATTAGGAGTTATGTTATCTGTTGCAAAACTTTATGTTGTAGAGATTTAAATGGAGATTTCTATTTGTACAGGATATATGTGGTAGTGAGACATGTAACACCTTTTAATGTGACTCAAACAGTTCTGTAAGACAATATTTATTCCAAGCTTTTACACATTTTGCATGCTTCTAGCTGAGAAGGTGAACCCTTGTACTCTAACCAGTACTAACCCAAAGAGCAACATAGACATCATTGCATTTTCTCAGATTTACTTGGAAAGCAGATAGCACCACTTTTAAAATCAATTAAAAACACATCTATCACATGAAAACATCTACCCTGAAATATGTGCTGCTGTACTTGTTGAGTTGACTAGTGGAAATCTGAACTGATCTTGGAAGCCAAAGGTAGAAGGCAGTGTACTTCTCATAGGCCTTTTCAGTTCTGGTTATGTTGATTTGGTTTCCTGTCTTCCATCTACCATGTCTGTGATTGCTAAACATATAGAGGCCAGTAAAATTGTAAGGATATAATAAATATTTGATACCTTTTTTGCAGTGAGTGCTGACTATGTAACTTTTAAAGAGAAATAAGTGCAAAGGCTTGTTTGAGGTGGCTTGCAAAAAGTGATGAATACTGTATCTTACAGTATTTATGTACATGGGATGACATTTTTTTCTAGCAAAATAGATTTCTGTAATTGTTTCAGTGGAGTATTGATTTTATACATACATGTGTTAGAAACCAGCTCAACTGGGACCATGTTGAAGGCAGCTCCAAGGAACTGAATGACCACTGACAAGTCTAGGTCTAGTTTTCTGACTTCATTTTTGCTCTTTTCCACTCCTGCTTTCTAATCAACTAACAGTTCCCCATTGCAAAAGGTTTCATATCTGATTTATTTATCTTGTTGATTTGCTTGAAAATGTGTGAACTTGAGTTATACATTGCAGAGGAATCTTACTGTAATGTGAATAAATCCACTTTTTTAGTGTATCATAAGGCAGATTCTAATAATGCCATTTCTAATGATGAGCTCTCAGCCCATTCAATGCAGAAAAGTTTAGGACATGCTGCAGAGACCATTTAAAGGTGATAGGTCATTCCTTTGACCTGAGGAGCCAACATTTTAGTTTTCCCTCGTCATGGTTAGGCAGAAGCATTAGGCTTTATTAGAGTTGTATACCTTTGAGATTACTTCTTTTGGTTGTTGTGACATAGTTTTGCTCAGCATCATGGATACGTTACTTTTATGACAGCATTTCTGTCATAAATGAAAATATAGATCTGTACTTATTTATGCCTCATTATTTAA